TAACGCTATATTAACTCCATATGTAATACAAAATGAACTCATTGAATGAACATGGTGATAAATTTGGTGTTATATAAACGCTGATACATACTGTGGCGACAAACGGCGCGTTGTTTACGATTTCCAAAATAAAGTGAAACGATAAAAGTGTTTGCAATACATTTCCCTATTAATCAAAAATAATTAGCAACAAAAATAGTGCATTAGTTTAATTCGTCAATTGTATCGATTGTGGACAATACAGTTTAAGCCCTCACTCTCTGTAATACATTTGTTATGATGTCTGTAATATCAATATATGGCTATAACCCCATCTCATAACTCTCACACACCATAGATCTCATGGATACCACACTGGGATCTGTAGACCATTCAATGCCACACTTAATAAAGTAAAGTGTAATTTTCGGCCACAAATCTCCACAAAAAGAGCCGTGTATTTAGTTATAGAAATGTAATGATTGTAACCATATATTATTTATAGCAAAGTGTACGTTAAAATATAGCTAAAGTTGATAAAATAATTATTTACGGTAGGAATTGAGTATATAATTGAAGTTTAGTATAGTATAAAGATTTACAGAATTGTGAATAAAAGTTAGGAAAGTTTTAATTAAAAATTAAAGTTTAAATAGATTTTTAATAAATGTTTTAAATTAATGAATTTAATGGCAAAACTTACTTTGTATGACAAATAGGCTAATAGTAAGGCTTCTGCGAGACATATGACGGCAACACTTGTCTGTATTTAACAACAATTATAATTATAATCGCAAAAGAGATGTTTAATTAGAAAACTAAAAATGCATTTCATTCATATATCGAGAATTGATTAATTACTTGAAATAACCATAATATGGGAGACCTGTCCACATAAATAATTGCATTCCTGTTGATCACCAAAAAATAAAATTTGGTTAATAATTATGCGCTGTTTTGGGTGTAAATGTAGTATAGATTTGCTGTCAATTACCAGTTTAGTGGAGTTGACGTATAATTAAGATAACTAAACCGATCCCAACCAAACTGATAGTTACAGCCATAGTTGGCTGATGTGGTGTTGGTTTCATTTGCTGGACAACCAAAACTGCAATTTATGCAAATATTTTTAGAAAGCTAAATTATTACCCAAAATAAATACGTTGAATATAATGGTTAAACTTGTAATTTATTGGTTTTCATAAAATATCAAATGTTTAAAGAATATTCTTTAATATCTATTTCACTGTATATTTCATGAAACTATCAATATATAAGAACCGAATCGTAAATCAAACAAAATCCGATTTTATATACTTTTAATATATAGTAATATATAATATATAAATAACAGTATTATTTGTGATATATTTTACAAAAATTATTATATAATCAAATAAAATTATTTTTCAATAAATCCATTTTTGTTAGATTTTTGTAGCAAATTGTCTGTGAATTAGATTTGAATAAAACTTATATTTTTAAACTTCAATGATATTTGGATATTATTATACAAAAATGATATTATTGTGTATAAAACAGAATAAATTACAAATATAAATAACTCATATATTTGTCGGATGTAAACCAAAACCAAGTATTGATTATAATGTATACCTTTATATAAAATTCATGGAAATCGATGCATAAAAAGCTTATTTTAGTAAAAAAGAGATAAAACTCTAGAGTTTCTCAAAAAGAGGTTTTTGTTGCCAACAAATAAAATTTAATCCAAAAACTAAATAACGATAAAAATGATAAAAGAAATTCATCACTATTTAAAATAAATATTTGTTTTTAATGAGATTATAAACAAATTAATAAGTTTTTTGTTGAAAAGAAATAATAAAATGTTCTAATTCTCATTAATTTCTAAATGAATTTTTTGCACTAAACCGAGATTTTATGATAAAAATAAACAAAGATTTTGCAATAATTTTATTTATAATAAACACTTCAATATTTTTAGTGAAAACAGAAAAGTCTATTCATTTTCTATATTAAAGTTTTGTTACAAAATATTATTAAAACAACAAAAATGAATTAATATTTCATATGAATTATCAAAAGATAAAATGAACAGAATTTAAAATTTAAAATTCAATTTTAATTAAAAATTTATTCACGAAAAGAGAGAATTAAAAGTTAAAAATGGCTTTTAATACGAAATGAATGACAGATTTCTAATAAGTAATAATTAAAAAGGTAAGAAATAATGGTTGATATGTACCAATTAGCCGATGCCGGCCCGCTATCCAATACTACACGCAATACGTATAAAAGACAAGCAATTAGTTTAAGCACTGTTTTAATGATACGGATCCGTAAACCTGTGGACAAAAGGA